GCATGGTGCATATGAATGCATAGCATAATTTGCCCTCACTCGCATCTCATAATGATTGCATCTCATATCTTTCCTACTACGATGTGAGTATGTGCTATGTGGAAAATTAAGGCCCAAATAGTTACAAATAGTTAATTAAAAGGCAATACTCTGTCTGTCTAATTTTAGGTGTATGCTTTGATTAACAAGGTTTGGTTTTAATTATTTACATATTAATTATTAAAATATTCAGTATTAGTACATAAAATTTAAATATTTAGCAATTATATTAAAAGTAACATTAAACATACCAAACAAATAAATTTATAAATTATAAGAAAATAAGTAAAGAAAAAAATTTGTCTGACTACTAAATAATAAGTATGACAGATAAATTAATATAGATGAAGTAATTTATAACAATACTTCTCTCAAAATAAATTGTTTAATTAAATAGACGAATATATATTTATTGTTGGAAAGATTATTAAATTTTTACATTTTAAGTTGTTATTTTGATCGAGGTATTAATTTAAGGGAAGTGTTGAAAAAAATAGTTTAAAATTGCATAAAATGGCATATTAAGTGGTTATTTTTGTGGTACAATTATTAGTGGGGTCCACTTCCGATTTGAGTCGGGTCAAAGTGGATTTGGATTCTTCGTAGTGAGACGAAGAGATTGATATATTATACGCTCAAAACGAATAATGAGTGAATGAGATATTGATTCTCAAAGTAGACCCATTTGAGTTGAAAAAGTGAAGGAAAAAAGCTTGAGAGTAGCTTTTTGTCTCACATTGGTTTGGGAAGTGAATTTGCACCACTATTTATACAATAGCATTTCTAAGACTTATTGAATTATATAGCATGGAAGTTCTCTCTCTCTCACGCATGGGTGCAAATCAAATTCCAAAGTGAGCCTCTAAATCGAGTTGGAGGATTCGGCCAGTTACAAAATTAATTCTTTATTAATTACAATTTTAAAATTTGAATTGAAGTCTTAGTTAGTGGCCATGTTATTTCAAGTGTTCCAAAAATTGGCTTTATGTCAATTTTAATGGCCATAATGAAAGCTATTTAACTCCTTCAACCCTTCAGGGATCAGAGCAACAGAATTTTCATCACAAGAAATCATAGTTTTTTCCAGCTCCAAAATCTCTGCTTCTACTCCATTCTTAGTCTAATTGTGTTCGAAGTCTTGCTCTAGTGCGCTGGGTTCAAAGATTGGGTGCTCAAACGATTGAACCGTAGTACGTTTTATCCTCAGAAACCGAGACTACAACGCTCTTAGCACTTGTGGGAGATAGCAAATAAGGTTTTAATGAAAGAGTGTTTCATTCGACTCGTACCAAACATCTTTCCCTCGGTATCCTTTCGTTCTTCCCACCATATCTGATCATCCTTCTCAAAATTTCCATAAAAATAATAATCTTTTCGTAGGATTATTATTGGGATTTTTCAATGATATATCCAATAGAAAGTCCACTTTAAATTTGGGTCGAGTCAAAATGTATTTAGATTTTGTCAATTGAGATGATAAATTTCATGAATTTGATATGTTATATGCTCAAAATAGACAAATGAATGATAATTCATTCCAGAAGTGTACTAATTAAAGTTGAAAATAATAAAAACTGAGAAAACTTTTAATCATTGTTCTATATTGAAAAAACTTGTGAGTTTGCACTAATAAAAATATTAAAGAGTTAATACCCAAAATCGTCCTCGACTATAGTGGTTTTTCTCAATTTCGTCCTAAATGACTTTGGTGACCTAATATCGTCCCAGACTTTTGTGTTTCGCTCAATTTAGTCCCAGACTTTTGTGTTTCGCTCAATTTAGTCCCAGACTTTTGTGTTTTTGCTTAATTTAGTCCCTCATTTGTTATTATGTCCATTTGGTGTTAAATAAATAGACAATTCAGTAATTTTAATATTGACATCTCTTTACTCATAGACATGTGAACTGCGAAATTCCTTTTTTTTTTTTACGAATTACTCCCAGAATTACTCCTAAAATTGCGAATATAAAATTTGATTTGCAGGTCCGGGAGTAATTCTGGGTGTAATTCGTACAAGAAAGAGGAATTTCGCACTTCACAAGTTGAAAGTAAAGAGAAATCAATATTGACATTACTGAATTGTCCCTTAATTTAACACCAATTTGACAGAATAACAAATGGAGGACTAAATTGAGCGAAACACAAAAGTCTGGGACGATATTAGGTCACCAAAGTCGTTTAGGACGAAATTGAGAAAAATTATTATAGTCGAGGACGATTTTGGGTATTAACTCAAATATTAAATACGGAGTACTATTTAGTCAGGAAAGGCTTTTAATTAGTAATTGTCCCGCATTAGAAAAGCATTTAAGTTTACATTAATATAATTTACTCATTATGCACCTTTAAATAATAAATGCACATCCTCTTCGTCACTCAAAGGTCCTGTTTAGTAAAATAGTTAGTATATTAGTTAATTTTGACTTGTTTGATTTGGTTAAACAATTAGTGTTTGATTAGTTAGCTTTTTTAACAATTTATTGCTCCAAACAACTAAAATTCAAAAAGATGCTCAAAATAACTTGTTTGATCAATTTTTTTTTTAAAAAAATTATTTTGTATGTAATCAGCTAACAACTAATTTATTAAATATTTTTCTAAAATCAACTAATATTATCAATTAGTTAAACTCACTAACACAATCAGCTAACATGTATTACCAAACACCCCAAAATATACTAATATATCTCGAATGAGTTAATTCTAGCAATGGTCCTCCGACTATATTGATTTTCCAAAATTAATCCTCGACTTTTAATTTGGACACTTTACATCCCTTAACTTTCAATTTCTTTCAAATTGAGGTCCTTTCGTCAGATTACGGTAAAGTGGACCTTAAATAAAAGGGTAAAATAGTCATTTCATCTGCCTAATGTATAATTCTTCATATTCCTTCCTTGTATACGCGACTTCGGACATTAGATTCACTTAATTGCTTAATCCGTAATGAAATTTTATTCTTCGAGTGGATTTAGGGATTAAGCAATTAAGTAAATCTGATGTCCGAAGTCGCGTATACAAGGGAGAAATACGAAGAATTATACATTAGGCAGAGAAATGACTACTTTACCATTTCATTTAAAGTCCAATTTACCGTAATCTTACGAAAGAACTTCAATTGGAAAGAAATTGAAAATCAAGGGACGTAAAATGTCTAAATTAAAAGTCGAGAACTAATTTTGAAAAATCAATATAATCGGAGAACCATTGCTGGAATTAACTCTAATAAGGATAAACTAATACTCCGTAGTCCGTATTACATATTGGAGCAATTGACATCCAAAGGCGAAATGTGGATTTAATCGGTATTCACATGGGCATGAGAATTATCGTAGCTGTAAAGCACCGACGGAATCGGCTCCCAAGAGTGTATTTTTTAGCTACCGGGACCACAAGGGGCATTTCGCACGTGACTAGCACATGCCCCCTCAGTACTTCACGACACACGTGTCATCATCAGCAGCACTCTCCGTACTTCAACACACCGGCAAGGCGGCAACAAGCCAAAATGGACGGTTTAGTAACCTGTTACCGTAAATGGTTTGCATTTTTTTAGTTGATAATTTAATTATTTTGTTTAAAACACAAGTTCTACTTTTTTTTTTCTTTTTCTTAAATCACATATATGAATTTCGTCAGATTAATTCTTAAACTTTATGAAGCTGAAAATAAATTAAAGGTGTGTTTAATTTCCACATGTGAATCAAAATCAGAATAAGAATTAAATACTTGATAATGGTATAAGTTTTAGTGAAAGTATTTTGTATGTTTGGTAGTAAAATGAAAATGGAATGATTGATATTGGTTGTGTATGACCCTATAATGGGTATAAATATTTTGAAAATACAAAAATAAAAAATCAATACAATTGCACATAATATAATGATATCCAAAGCACCAATATGAGCAAAGAAAATCATAATACAAATCTAAAAACTCAAGTCCAAATTTAAAATTATATTATTAATAAGATGGAATGATACTTTTTTACGTTCATAATTATAATACTAACTATACTTTTGATTCCCGTTCATAATGTGTAAACCCATGAACCAAACTGTGACTTTGTTTGGCAGAGTTTATTTAGGAGCTTACAGCTTATTTTAAGTTACTAATAAGCTATAAGTTCTGTTTGATAATGTTCCCAAAATAAGCTCTTAGCTTAAAATAAGAGCTTATTTTAGAATGTTACCTTAGGTAGCGTTTCAAAATAAGCTCCTAGCTTCCTATTTTTTTTTTTTTCTATCTTTATTCTTATTATTTTAAAGAAATGACATAATTTACCCTTCCCAATTAAAATCATTTTCTCTTCTCATTTATCCGCAACTTTCACCGCAAATATTATTATTATTATTATTATTATTATTATTATTATTATTATTATGAGATTTGCAACAATATTGCTACTTCATTATGAGATAATAGATCATGATTATGCTAATAGTTTTATTTCAAAATGTTAATTTTTTAAAAGACAAAATGTTAAATTTTAATATGTAAACAAACTAATTTAAATTTTATTAAGATGTTTTTTTTAGTCTTTTTACATTTAACAACTTATCAAAAAGCTAATTTTACCAAACAATTTCAATCATAACAGCTAGTTTAACAACTCTTCAGTTTTCAGCTCCGAATTTATAGCTTTTCAGCTTTCAGCCCCTAGCTTATAGCGTTTCAGCTCCGGGGGTGTAGATAGATAAGATGGAGGACCAAAAGGAAAAAAAAAAAAAAATCCTTAAAATATGCTATATTTTGACGTTAAAACAAGGATGAGTACAAGTCACAGGTGTTAGGGGGACCACATTTGGAAAACACATGTTACCCGGCCAACTAACCCAAGACTGAGAAAGACAGTTGCGGATTAAAGCATTCACTGTCATTTTGGTAATTGTGAAGAGGCGGCAGGCAGGGCAATAAACCGATAACATCTAACACTGACACAAACTAAGTTGCCTTTATTCCTGTCTTCTCCATCCTCACACCAAATCTCATCTTCCACTCTCTCTCTCTGTGTATCTCTGCGATTTCACAGATCAGACTCCCTGAATCGTGCGACGATACGATGTTGTTCCTCGTCTTTGGTTTGTTTGTTGTTTCCCGGCTGTCGGGATCCGCCGAGGCTTACAAGAATTACACGGTGGGCGACTCCTTGGGTTGGTATGACACCCTTGAAAAGTCCTCCGTCAATTACCAGAAATGGGTCTCCGGCAAGACCTTCTCCCTCGGCGATTTCCTAAGTATTTCTCTCTCTCTCTCTCTCTCTTCATATACAAACTAACGCTTTCGTTTCTGTTTCTTTACTAATCATTAAATTTCAAGGATTTTATGATTGTAGTGTCTCAGATATATATGATGCTTGTTTGTCTAAATTTTATCTCTCTCTCTCTTTTAATTTGTTTGGATTTTTATAGTGATTTAGAAATTGTTTGGATTTTTTGTTTTTTGAAAGGGAAATTGTTTGGATTTTTATGGTTAGAAACACATATATTATTGACATTCATTATACTAGTTGCTTAAATTTTATTAGAGTTTAGGGGTTTAAAATTTGCATCTTTATTTACTAAATTGTGGAATTAAAATGTAATTTATTGAGTAGAAAAAGAGATATTAGATGTAAATTTTTATTACTATTTAGATTTTAAAAATAATAATAATCGTAAAATTTTACAAGATTTGACAACATCACTTTAATATTCAGTGTTCTAAAGAATAATTATATTAACCACAAAAAAAAAAAAAAAAACAAAAACAAAAATTAAATCACCACTTATTAAATACTTAGCAATTAAAAGTGGTGATACTTAGCTTGTAACACAAAAATTAAATTTACACCTACACCCTTTAACTTAGGAAGAAGAAATAGCAACTTTTCCTTTAAAAATTGTTACTATAGAAGTGCCGACAATTATAGTAAACTGCTTTATTACTATTACTACGTACTTTTCACTTAGATTTGGTTACTAAAGTAGTAAAGTAGTAATGATTAGTGACTGGGAGGGTGCCAATAACCTGGTTAGTGGCACGACCACAACAATTCTTGTGAGGATAATATTGACTATTTATGTTTCAATAGATTGAGAAAGTAATATTAAAAAAAAAATGACCTTCATTGATGAAACCACTAAACTTATTCCTCACTTATTGAATAACTATGACCCTGTTTGATAAATGAAGGGTAACTGATTGTGTTAATTAGAGGGTATAACTGTAAATTAGTTGTTAATTGATAGCTGTTTGGTATAATTTTCTTTCTCAAAAAACTAATTGAAAAAGTTGCTTTGAATAGTTTTTTGAATTTTAGCATTTTGAAGTTACAAAAAACCAATTAACCAAACACTTATATTGATTTTTTAATTAAATCAAAAAACTAATAATGATTAAATAGCTAGCATTGACTGATAAAGTAACTATTTTACGCTTTTTTGTCATTTGGTTTGTTTTTCTATTTATTATTATTATATATTTATTGATTTTTTTTTTTTAATTTTAAACGCAGTATTCAATACTGACACCAACCATTCCGTTATCCAAACGTACAACTTCACCACCTACAAACGCTGCAACTACGAAGACGACGATAACGCCACTCAGTGGTCATATTCCGACCCTTCCGCCACATCGCCGCAGCCGACCACCGTGCCGGTGCCGCTTATGAAGCTCGGGATGACGTATTTTTTCTCCGGCGACTACGACGGCGAGCAGTGCAAGAACGGGCAACGTTTCAGAGTAAATGTTACATACGGTCAAGGCTTGCCGCCTAGCCTCAAAACCCCCGATGAGTCACCGGCGCCGGTGAGCCCCCAATCCGGCGACGATGATGCCGTGCCGGACACCTTGGTGCCTGCTTATTTCGATAACCCCCGAAACGTCAGTGATGATGATAGTGAGCCGTCTGGTTCGGTTTCTTTGGTAGCTTTTTCTAGATTTTTTGGTGCCTGCTCGTATGGGATCTTAGTTGTCCTGGGCCTAGCTTGTATTATTTGATTGCTTTTTTTTTTTTTTGTTTTTGTTTTATTATTATTATTTTTTCCTTTTCCATGCAGGTTACAAATATATATCTATATATTCATGTATACTTGTTTCTAAGAAGATTTGGAGGGCAGAGTTGTATTGTGTTCATATTTGATATTTAATTTTAATATATTATTTTTTAAATTTTTTTCTATTTATATTTAAACTAGCATGATACCGGTGCGATATAGTTTTAAACAACAACAATAATAATAATAATAATTTTATATAATTTCTTTCGATTTTGAGCTTCCAATACTTGCTTGGTAAAGTTTCAACTTTCAAATTGAGATTGGTCTTGCAGTAGTGAAAATTACTATGCATGTGATGCTAGTTTTAAGACGTGGGAGAAAACACGCATTATATTTCTCCCCAAGTACGAATTTGATGTCTATTGCGAAAAAACTTGCAAGTACTGTTTTGGATGAGACGGGTGTCGACCCAATAATGATTGATGCAAAAGAAGAAGTAACGAGCAAGAAAACTCTTCGTCACTATATTTAGATCTACAGGTTGATGGACTAGCAACTCTCACATCAATATTATCAACTTCTCAATTGTAAAGGGAAAAGAAGTGTTAGTAAAAACTAGCACTAGATTTATTTCCCCTTTCTAGATAGAACAGACATTACAATCTGTTGTGTTTTTTTTTTACTATATGTAAAGTCACATATGATACAAGATTTTATGCTAATTGTATTATCCATACAAGTACTTTTACCTAAATATGGTATCGTTTGCTTGATTGTGTTGGCCTACAAATCTCCAATTATTAATCATGATATATTTGTCAGTTTATATTATCTGGAAGTAGGTGAAACGTCTAATGTTGGTCCGAGCTGCCAAATATCCTGCAATCCTCGCTTATCTCCGCGGCTAGTTGGTGGCCTTTGATCGGACCAAATCATCCATGTCTCCGTGGGCTTTGCTCGCCCCCCCCCCCCCCGCCCCCCCCCCCCCCCCCCCCCCCCAAACCACCGACACGACACCCCAAAAATGAAATCTAATGCATTCTTTATCATTATATTATATTTAATAAATAAAAAGAACACGAAAAATTAATGTTGCAAAAGGCGCAGGGGGACGCTAGCACCTAAGCATCTCTAGGCGGTTGAATAATTCAAGTATATTATCTCCATTTTTTTCACTCAAGTCTAGGAATTGTTAAGACTGTTACGAAATATAATCCACCAAACTAGTCAAATGCATATGTTAGATGATTAGTTGAGTACATGGTTAGAGAAATATAGAAGAGTAGCCAAACAAGAAAAAAAAATCACTTGGCCAAGTTAAGCGCCAACTCGGCTGAGTTGAGCACCAACTCGATTGAGTTAGGCACCCAACTTAGCCGAGTTATGCGCTCAACTCGGCGCCTAGGGCACCTAGTTGACCGATTAGTTGATCGGCTGACTAAAAGGCGCCTAGTGCTGAAACGCCTCGACCTAGGGGCGTCTAGCACTAAGTCGGCTGCTAGACCAATTTTTACAACAATGCAAAAAATAAAGGAAAGGAAACCAACCACGAATCTGAAGGGGAAGTATTAATTCGTTAAATTCCTTGCCAAGTTTCCCCAAGAAAGCAGTTGAAAATGTCACAGAACTTGGCAATATTCAGAAGAGGAATCAACTGTGCCTTCTTTTGTTAAGTATCTAAAAACACAACCTCAAATAGTTTGGTTCTTCTACCTTTAACCACAAGGTACAAAAACGCGTAACTAGTGAATCAGCAATCAGCATGGCTGTAATCTCTTCTAAGGTGTAACTTACAAAAACTTTCTGATACAATATTTAGTTAGGTTACAGAATACCTATGCCTAGAGAACCTCAGCTGTTCTCTTAGCCGGCAAGCATTCAGTCTTGATGTCAGATACATCTTCTATTATGCCTTTGCCATCCATGGCGTCGTAAAAGAAGAAATTCTTAATTGGATCACCTTTGCCAGATATTGCTTTAATCACCTCCTGCACAGGCAAACAATTTTTGGATCAAGAATTGCAAATATGTAGTTGCAGAAAGACAACATTTGCACCGAAGATCACCTGTCCAAGAATTCCTCCGATGATGGCACAAACTGGAGGAAACTCTCTTGTACCTCTTAACAATCGTTTCAAGAGGGAATCAGGAATTTGAGATTCACTCAAGCCCTGAAAACATAAGTGAAATAGATAATGAAATAACTTATAGTAATAACCCAGCTCAATATAGTCTAGTTCACATACCTGAGCCTCACAGAGTTCCTTCCTCAATTTTTGAACATTTAGGAGGTCAGCATCATTAGATGCTGTTTCAGGTTCGCCCCCTTCAAACTCTTCAAACCTTTCTATGACTGCAAGAAATTAATCATTCAGGAGGTCAAGTCAATTAACAAAACATATCACCTGCAGTTGTTCAGTTTATATTAGGGGTGAGCAAGGAGAAGATTGGATTGGTTTGGGGTGAATTTGATCTGCTAGGGGTGCGGATCCAATCCGATCCGCTAATCGCAAATTTGGCGAATTGGATGTGGATTGAATGGCGGATTTCAAGTCTGACTTGAAGCAATGTTTATTGAGCTTGTGATTGTGAAAGAGAGACATAAAACCCTAGGCTAAGTGTAGAAAATTAAAAATCGAATTATAATTTTAGATTTGGACTGCACCGAGACACTCAGTAGTGGGCTACTAGGCTTATAGTCTATATGTGCGTGTATACACACACACACACACACACGTTTTGGTAGCGGATTTTGAGAAGTCACATCCGCATCCCATCCACCTTAAGTGGATACTGATTGAATTGGAGCGGATTTGGTGGATCCTTGCTCACCCCTAGTTTATATGACACAATATCCAATGTGCTAAAGCTAAGTGCTATGTCATTTAAGGCATGTAAAAGTGTCTGATCACCCCTTGCAAACAGAAGATAAAAAACATAAGACCAAATGCTGTCACGAATTAACAATCCTAGCCTACCTTTACATTTCTCAAGAGCAGAGTTAGATTCAGAAAATAAAAGAAATGGTTAGGGAAATTAGTTCATAGAGAATTTGCAAATAAAAAATACATCATAGGCAGCTCATCCGCGATTCCTAAAAAGCAATTCCTGACTTTAAAGTGTTGAGTGTTGACAAGAGGCCTTTTTTTAATACCATGCAACAACACAGCAGAATGGAATGAAGAGTTGGGGTGTAGCTGACAAAAATGATGTTGAGAAACAGTGCTAAAGTGGGAGAGTGGAGTTGCAGGGTGCAATTATAGTAAATTCTATACATCAGGTTTGCTTCAAGAGTTTTTAGATACACTCTTTTTTCAGCAGTAATATTCATCTAGTCATTATACACCTCTTCATTGGATCGTTCCTTGTTTACACTTAGAATGACTTGTCAAATGAAATAATAAAAGTAATTTGCATTACCACTCAAGAAAAGTATACAGAAATCACAAGATATAGAGTTCTTTGCTATTTTACCTCTCATAGCAAAGAATAGCTTTGCCATTCTCTTAGGTAAACCTCTCCATGGGACTGCAATAGCTTCCTGTGGAAAATAAACAAGCAATTGCCATATGAATAGAAAACCAACAACTCTGAAGAATCATACTTCCACCTAGTGGTACAATATAAAAGCAAAGGTTAAAAAAAAGTGTTAATTAAACCTTCAGAAAGTGATACCTCAAAACTTGGATAGTTCAGTTGGCAATCACTCATTTCTTCAGATTTTTTCTGTCAAAGGAGAAAATTGACAGGTTATAAAGAGGTTTAGGTGTTATCTAGAAATAGCAATAATTAAAAAGTAAAGTTAGCAACTAGGTAAAAAGAGATATAATAAAAAGAGATAAGCTCATTTCTAACCTTAGAATAGGTGTAGCTCTGCAAATCAATGAAAATCTCACCACAAGAATCTCTAACATCCACGGCATAAAAAGCAATGCGCTTTGACAACTTTCGACACTTTGCATTTACAGATTTCTGTGGAGGAATTGCAGAAAGAATATGAAAATCATTTTAAAAAAGTGACAGAATTTCATATTCGATGAGTAAATGCAAATGTATAAAGAATACCTTTGTTGAAAGAGAGCAGTGGCTGATAACAACAGCGTCAAACTTATCAAAGAAATCAGCATCAAAACTTGACAAATCACCTTAGAATGTAAATAGTGTATTTGTTAGTATCGTCAGAATAGGATACTAAATTTCATTCGAGACCAGCACTTTCAATATGAAATATGAACAGCTTTATAACACAAAAATGACTTTGAAAATACATCCAAGTGAATTCAGTAAAAATGCAAAAACGCTAAAGGACTTCAAAACAAAATGTGCAACATTCTATATGCCCATACACTCTTTTTCCTTCTCAATAGTTCTCGTTATTTTCCAAAACATCAAGTTTTATATATATATATATATATATATATATATATATATATATATATATATATATATATATATATATATATATAAAATTAAAATCAGCATGTGGAAGCAACCCTCATACATAGTCCCTCAAGACGTCGAAGTCAAAATTCCTTAATATGAAGCTTCTTGGTTATGAACAGGTTGTAGGCAAACTTAACTTTGTTCTCAGAGGTGTAGTAATTTCTAGGACTTGAACCCATGACATAATTTTTCACTGGTGAGCACATGACAACTGCAACATATGCATCTTCCATAGTATCTCAAGGCCATATGAGATGAAAGTAGTAATATGCGTAATCCTCTATGTAGGGGCCCTTAAGCATACATAGGGCATATCAGCAGTATTGACTATTGAGAAATAGGTATGCCAATGCCATGCACATTTTCTCAAACATAAACAGGTAGCAATGCTTGCAATTTGATGTATACTAACAATAACATTTGGAATAGTCTAAGTAGCAGCCCCCAAGCATAGTAAATAATGGCAGTCTTGAGAAAATAAGTCTTCTATTTACATATCTTTTATGTATAGTCCTTGTAGCTTGATGTACAAAACATGTAACACTTATTGAAATATACTACGGCATGTAAATTATGTAGAACAATATGACAAGAAATTAATTAAATACAGCTAGAGGGATCCATTCTAATTCTAACATTTACTAAGAGAGTTAATGTTAGCCATATAAATTAAGCATAGTTCACCAAAAGCACAAATCTTGTCAGGTGCCTTAAGAGAAAATGCTATGCTTAAGTTGAATTGTTAATGCAAGCTGTTTCAATAGTCTCATAACTCATAAAGTGAACTAACCTTTTTGGACAGAAACATAAACCATAGGGTTGAATTCTTTCAAAGAATCACAACAGAGCTCGGCAACAGATTTCCCACCGAAAACATTTTCATCTGGGGGAATGAGGAAATTAGCAGAAAGTAATTCCTCGGTCACCATGCGATCATCATTCAGCGTCAAACTACCAACTCCAGCTAAAACAATATTTTTGCAGAACTGCAAATATAGATAAAGGAAATACTCTGCAGTTTCTTATTCAAGCAAATATAACTCCTAATGACAGTCTAAAATAAATCCTTTAAGAGTTCCAACGGCAACCTAACCGATGTTCCATACAGCATATTCCAGTTAGGAAAACGGTCAATGTAACCACAATGTACTAGACTCAAGAGTATATCACCACAAAATTATTAGCAAGTTTTTTGAAGTATGTTATGTGCTCCCGTCATGGGCAAGAAAACATAGGGAAAAAGGAAGAAAGAATAATAGTTGGAAAAAGAAAAGAAGAGAAGAAGACACTGGGTTTGCTTGAGACCCAAAACTCCCTTAGACCCTTTTTGGGATTAAACTTTTGCTTGTTATTATTCTGAATAATACTCTCTTTTTATAGGGTAAAATACAACTCATAGAATGACTAAATAAGCTAAGTAATCTGTTGAAATCTTCTAAATAATTAAACTACCTAAATTAATTCGAAGACTAAGAATAATAAGGTAACTATTTAGTAATTTCTAAATAACTATTTATTAGTTTCTAAATAACTATTTAGTAATTTATTAATATCTAAAATAAGACTTCCTCAGAGCATGTATCAAAGTACCTCTACAGCAGTCCCTTTGAGTCCACTGACAAACACATGAGCTTTACTGAGGCTGTTGCAACAAAAAAAAAAAATGTTAAATGAATTGAAGTTTGTCATTGAAAATGTAAATACCAAATAAACAAGAACCATTGGCATGTGGATAATGTGAGAGATAGTATAACTACTTCCTGTTAGCAGCTGCATAAATTGCCATTCTTTTAAGAGTAGATAATAGATGAGCACATTGACAGACTTTGTAGTAAAAATACATGAGCAAGTTGGGGTATGCAGCAAATCTTATGTGGAATTACAAGACATAATAAATTATAGCAAGAAACTATGAATAATTAAAAAAAATGCTAGCATCATTGCTACTAAACCTAATCCTAGCTATTGATGCTGAACTAAAAAGCTAAACCTCAAGCACTATTACTAGAGCGAGTATAGCTTGCTGATGGTAGTAAACAACCTAAAGTATTCTGATAGTGAAAGTGTGAAACACCAACTTTTTTCAGTTTTCTACCACTGGCGCTCTGGCAGTCTTCATAATATTTAGGGAACAGGGTTGCTTTTTTTTTAAAAAAAATACTACCGACTCTATTACATTGTAGTATTTGTTCAAACATAATTTCTCAACCTAATGAAGCACACAGAGTCAACAGCACTCAAACAGGGTTACTTTGTTCCTCTCACTTTAGACTTTGATTTTCCCAAGTCTATAGAAGCAAATAACAATTGAGCAACAGATATTAAGCACTACTAACCATTAAAAAAAAAAAAAAAAAAAAACTAAGCGAGCGTGTAAGTATAAAACATACCGTCTTTGAGCATCAACGCCCCAGACCCTAATCTGACGATCGTAGATGGCAGTTTCCTGCTCTGTCAACTCCGCTCGCTCCATATTCCCGAACAAAACAGCCTGTAACTCAAAATGGAACTCCATTTGTTCGTTTCCATAGTTTACAAATAGCTCGGAAAATAGAAAATCTAAAAATTAGGGTTTTGAATTATGAAAATCGGTAACAGACAGTAAAGCACCAGTAACAAATTTGAAAGCAGTATGCATAATTCGTAGTTCGTAGGAAAAAGGGGGCCGAATTGAGACGGAAAATTGAATAGGTAGCTTTGAATCCGACGACTTACTGTAAGAATCAAGAGTTGAGGGTAGTGCGAACCGTCTTCTTCCTTAGGCTCCTTGCTCGACAAGTCGACAGTTGCCCTCTATCCGTGATTTTCCATTTTTCCCACTTATGCCTCGTCTTATGTCAAAGTGCAAATACCAATTTTAGTCCACAACTATGAACAAAATGACATTTTTAGTCTAAATATTTAATTCCTTTCAATTTTCATACACAATTATTATTTTAATACCAATTTTTATCAACGACTATTATTTTAGTGTCAAAATTTATCACCCGAGTCACCTCTTTGTTTAACAAATGCCAAAATATGAAATTATGAAGGATATTTTCATCATTTTCAAATTAAGATCTCAATTTGAGCATAAATAAAGGGATTTAAGCCCTACGGTTTATCTCAAATTCGCAGCTCTCCTCCTCAAATTAAGGTAGAAGAGGAAGAGAACTGCGAATTGAGATCAATCTTAGGGCTTAAATACCTTCTTCTTCTTTTTTTTTTGAAAACCAAAGAAAATAACTTTATTAAACCAAATGCTCAATACAAGAAGGAATAGTAAACAACCAAATGAAAGGATTAGTATGAGAACAAGTCGCCATAACTAACGCATGAGCCGCTTTGTTCACTGATCTAGAAATGAACTGAATAGACACTCTTTCAAGGTGTCGTTGAATATCCCGACACTCACTGATGATACATCATATAAAAGTATAATTCGATGATGAACCTTCAAAAAACTTACACACCGTTTGACAGTCATAATAAACCATAATCTTCGTGAAACCCCTTTCTTTAACCCAAGAGATCGCCTCTTTAATAGCAATTGCTTCCACTAAATGCGCATTCTTTAACCCAAGAGAGGGCCTCTTTAATAGCAATTGCTTCCACTAAATGCGCATCACTCATGCACGGAATGGGACCTTTTTTGCCGCCATATAAACGCCATTAGCATCCTTCATAACAACACCAAAACTAGCTTCATTGGTCTCTGGAAATACGGCAGCATCCACAAATAAACAAATTGTGTCTTCTGGCACTTCCAATACATTCAAATGCGGTGGATGAGGAGTTCGGTCACTGGAATTAGTGTTTGCCATTTGTTGCCAATCATGCAAAATGACGAAAATGTCCTTAAAATTTTTAGATTCCGACATGTCTAAATGGAAGGGTGATCAGCGTGATGAATTCTAGTACCAAAATAATGAGCAAACACCAATTTTGATCACACGAGTATTAACAAAATGACAGTTTTGGTCCACATACTTAATTCCTACCAATTTTCATCCACAACTATTGTTTTAGTACCAATTTTCATCCACGACTATTATTTTAGTGTCAAAATTCATCACGACGGTCACACATCCGTTTAAGGCATGCCGAAATTTAAAAATTTTAAGGGTATTTTCATCCTTTTCAACTTAAGATCCCAATTTGAACATGAATAAATGGATTTAAACCCCTAAGATCGATCCCAGTTCGCAATTCTCATTTTCATCCTACCTTAGTTTGAGGAAGAGAACTGTGAATTGTGATGATCTTAAGGCGTAAATCATTTTATTCATACTCAAATTGGGATCTTAATTGGGATGATGCGGTCCGGTCGCATGACCACATTGCCAAGCCGCTTGCTGAACCGCCAACTGCACCCGCTGCCGTGCCTAGCCAGTCCAGTCCCGAGACCGTGGTCGAGTCTGAGCGGACTGTCACGGAGCAGCCGACTGCTCGGCCGTGTGGCCGTCCGCGCGGTCGGTCTCGTCATCCCGTTTCACCAACTCGTGCTCGGTCTCACGGTATGGCTACACGGAGCACGGGGCCACATGATCATGTCGCACTGTCCGCTGATGTTACTACTGAGTAGACCTGGCAATTATGGACACGACACGAAACCGGACACGAAAATAACGGGTTAGTGTTTAGCCTTAACGTGTCCCGGGTCGATAACGGGTTGACCCGTTATGTTTCGTGTCTTAACGGGTCAACCCGTTAAACATATTAAGAACCCGTTTAACCCGTTAATATTATCGTGTTAACGGGTTAACACGAACCCGTTTACTAAACCTGTTTATAACCCGCTAAGAATCATTGTTATTTAGGTAAGAACCATTGTCATTATTGAGATTACAAAAGATATTATGAACATGATGACTAAGGATGAATTTACTACATTAGGCCAAGATCCTTCACCAATTAATTGATATTCAACAATTTGAAATTTGAATTTTTATTGTGTTCAATTTTATTCTAAAAACTTGTATAGACTCCTTTAATTATGATATTTGGATGTTATTTTTTTCTTTTTATGAATGTTATGAATTGAATATTTTTAGTTTGTTTGATGAATTGAACGGTAGTTTTTATTTATTTATTTATTTTATAGAACTTAACTTTTTTTTTTTTTGAAAGTTACTGGCTCTATTACATTGTAGTATCTGTTCATATACTTTCTCAACCTACTGAAACACAAAGAACCAATAACGCCTCCACTGAGGCTCGAACTAATTTTAGTTTTTTAAATATATTAATGGAAATAGCGGGTTTAAACGGGTTTCGTGTCATATCGTGTCGACACGACTTGAAACCTGTTAACAAAACATGTTTATCGTGTCAACCCGTTAACAAATCGTGTTCGTGTTCGTGTTAAAATTTTAAACCCGTTAACCATAACGTGTCGTGTCCGTGTTTAGCCTTATCGTGTTCATGTCGTTTTCGTGTCGACCCGTTAACGGACCCGTATACACGAATTGCCAGGTCTACTACTGAGCCCACGTGCTACTCTCAAGCGGTCAAATGAGTGGCTTGATGCAATGGACTTGGAATTTAATGCCCTGGTGCTTAACAATACATGGTAACTTGTTCCTTATAAATCAGGTATGAATGTGGTTGGTTGCAAGTGGGTGTTTAGAACCACAAGGAAAGCTGATGGTTCAATTGAGCGTCACAAGGCTCGATTAGTTGCCAAGGGTTTTAATCAGGTGGCTGGTGAGGACTTCTTTGAGACTTTCAGTCCCGTGGTTAAACCGACTACGGTACGTCTTCTCTTATCTTTAGCAGTTTCTCGTGGATGGACTATTCGACAGTTGGATATCCACAATGCTTTTTTGAATGGCAACTTGGCTGAGACAGTTTATATGTGACAGTCGCCTGGCTATGAGGACAAATCTATGCCTGGGCATGTGTGTCTACTTCAACGTTCTCTGTATGGGTCTCAAACAAGCCCCTCGTGCATGGTTCACACGTTTGCATGATTTTCTGGTTTCTGTGGGCTTCTCGCCTTCCAAAACCGATGTCTCTTTGTTTATTTACTCACGTGGCAATATTCAGCTTTATTTTTTGGTTTATGTGGATGACATCTTGGTTATGGGTTCTAATTCAACTCATGTGGCTACTCTTATTGATAAATTGGCTCTTGAATTTAAAGTTCGTGATATGGGTGTGCCTTTTTTTTTTTTTTTTTTTTTTTGGGTATTGAGACTGTTCCGGTGTCTGGAGGCATGCTTCTGTCTCAGCAACGGTATATGAAGGATATTCTCAAGCGAGCAGGTATGGTGGATTGCAAGCCCGTTGCCACGCCAGTTTCCACCACAAAAGCCGTGACAAGTGATGAGGTTCCGTATGCTGACCCCACTCAGTACCGCAGCCTTGCAGGTGCTCTGCAGTATCGTACGGTAATCCGTCATGATCTCTCTTATGCTGTTAATCGTTTGTGTCAGCACATGCACTCTCCTACTACGGCGGACTGGCGGCTTTGAAGAGAGTTTTACGGTATGTGAATGAGATACTCAATCTTGGTCTCAATATTTCCTCTTCTACCTCTCTAGATATTCATGCATATTCTGATTCGGATTGGACCGGCAATCTGGATGACCGAAAGTCAACTAGTGGTTTCGCTGTGTTTCTGGGGAGCAATCTTGTTTCATGGGTATGTCGAAAACAGCGCACCGTGGCTCGTTCCTCAACTGAAGCTAAGTACAAAGGGCTGGCTGATGTTTCTGCAGAAGTTACTTAACTTGTTTCTCTGATGAAGGAAATTGATTTTGCACCATCTTCTGCGCCTAAGCTCTGGTGTGACAACCTTGGAGCCACTTATTTATGTGCTAATCCGGTGTTTCATGTTCGCACGAAGCACATTGAAATCGACTATCACTTTGTTCGTGACAAAGTAGCAAAGAAGGAGTTGCAAGTTCATTTTATTTCTACCAAAGATCAAATAGCAGACATTTTTACTAAAGCTCTTTCGTCCTTACGTTTTAATTTACTCCGTCGCAAGCTCAATGTTTTGGCTAGCCAACCTTGTGCCTGAGGGAGAGTATTATTTGAACTATATTATTAGCATTAGATTGTGACTACCTTATTCGTGTTAGACTAGGATTCTATCTAGTATTTATATAGTATCTTATTTACCTATCTTAATTTTAAACCAAACACAGGAATCTAACCTTGCCAGTAATCTAACATTCCCTATGGTAATCTAACATTCCATAAACCAAACGCCCCTAAAAGTGATATATAGACACAATGACATCAAATTAAATTGGTTGCTAAATCAAGAGTGAACCTTAATTAACAGCAATTCATGAATTTAATTAACAAAAAGGGAAAAAAAGTAAATAAATTAAAGGACAAAAATGGCCAGGAACGACTTAATTAAGTACTATAAATACTGACAAAATTAAACATCCTTAACAGCGTAAAACGTTAATCAATGAATCTTTTTTTTTTAAATGAAAAGAAGTTTCCTCAAGTCACCAATGAAACTTCCGGATGGCTCTCTGGAAATGGATTCATTCATAATTACAGGTACGTAGGTTTTGTTTTGTTTTGGTTTTTGTTTTTTTGCTCTTTTTTTTTTTTTTTAATAGAACGTTGTTAATATCCGGACTACAATCCTTGACTTCGTGGGATCTCATCATCATCATGATCTGAAATTTGTTCCATCCATCCATCCATCCATCCATCCATCCATCTATATTCACATTTGTAGTATATATATGTTTGATCTTCAATTCCCTCGCCAACAACAAAGCTAAAATAATCGTCATCTCACTAACTGTACGTACTGCGGGCATTTCCTCTCTTCCAATAATATATATAATTCTCCGATCCTTAGCCACCTCTGCATGCATGCATATATATATGTACGTGACAACGTAACCCCGGCCCATCCTTCGACGATATTAATAATAATAATGAAACATTTTATTTTATTTTACTATGAGTCGAACGACACGTCTCTTCTTTTCTTTGGGTTCGCTGCTGCATCCGGGTTGCCTTTCTTCATCATGGCCACAAACTCGTCGTAGTTAATCCTCCCATCCTGCACACATTATGTTTTCAAATTAAATACATATAGTTTTGAATGAAACCCGGATTAATGTGTTTTAAGTTAGTTGTACTTACATGGTCTGAGTCGACTTCAGAAATAATTTCTTTTATGTCCTTGTCGTCACCCATGCCGAATTCTCTTAGAGCTTGCTCTAATTCCTCGATTGTAATGTAGCTGCAGGTTACAAACGAATTGAATCATGGGTCACATCGAGACTGATCATGTTTAAACTGGTTGAATATGATAATGGTAGCAGGTAGCTAGGTTTAAGGTTGTTTTTTACTTACCCACTATTGTCTTTGTCGAAGTACTGGAATGCGATGTATAGATGCTCTTCTCTGTCCATTCGGTTCATCTGCATTGTTGCTGTAATGAATTCTTCGTAGTCTATTGTGCCGTTTCCATCAGCATCAGCCTGGTTTCATTTTTGGATAGATTTCAAATAATAATAAGTCAGAAAAAGTAATTATTATTATTATTATTATTATTATTAGGATAAAATTAAAGAAGCTTTTTTCTCCCAAAAAGTGGAATCTTCAATCCAAAGGAGGTTTGAGAGAATGTAAATTACGATGACTCAATGACTCGGTCGGCATGGCCAAATGGCGGTGCACACAAAAATCTGTCCACTTAGACATAATCTCCACACTATGACGGAATCGGTCCACTTTGGACATAATCCCTATACAGGCTGAATCAACTGACAACTTTAGCATAATTCCACATTCACTGTGGCAGAATCTGCCCACTTTAGACATAATCATCACACTCATTGTGGCAGGATCTACCCACACAATCTGTCCACTTTGGACATAATCTCCACACAATTTGCCCACTTTGGACATAATCTCCACACAATTTGAAGAATCTGTCCACTTTGATTTGGATATAATCCACACACTGTGACAGAATCTGTCTATATTATGATTATAGAGGTCCAAACATTGATCTCTTCTTCCAAATACGGTCAACTGAACCAGTCAGCTAAAATTAACCAGTCAGCTAAAATTAAAGAAGCTGAACATAAAGTGGGAGATGGAAGGATGGACTTAGCTTACAGCTTCCATGAGTTGCTTGACTTCGTATTCGGACAGTTTTGTCCCTTGCTTAGACAGGCCTTGCTTCAATTCCTCGAGGGTAATCGTGCCACTTCCGTCGGTATCCATGGTTCTGAACATATCCTTCAACCCCATGATTTCTTCCTCGGAGAGGCAACCTGCGATGACCCTGAGCGCAACTTTCTTGAACTTGTTCATGGCTCTGAACTGCTTCAATCTATCCAAAACAGCATTGTCAAGCGGCGTGTCTGGTGCTTCTCCATCCTCCTTGATCCATGCATGATCTGATCATCCATCATTTCATTCACATTATTAATTACTCATATATATTTATATCTATATCTATATGATGGATCAAGAATATATATATATATATATATATATATGGGCATGCATGCATGCATGCATACTTAGAACTTCCAATGCTGTTAATCTTTGCTTGGGGTCGGAATTCAACATTTTCTTGACCAGATCCTTTGCCCCAGGCGAAATCGCTGGCCATGGGTCGCTCGAAAAATCCACATGCCCACGCAAAATTGCATTGAATATTCCATTCTCAGATTCTGCACCCACGCGTATCAATTAGCTGAAAGCTGATTGGGTTAGCTGATCTGACCAACTAATATAATATAAATAATAATACCTGCCCAGAAAGGAGGAACACCACAAAGAAGAATGTATAGCATAACACCAACGCTCCATATATCAACCTCTGGCCCATAGCTTCTCTTCAAGACTTCCGGTGCAATGTAATACGCACTACCCACAATGTCCTTGAACACATCTCCTGAATATATATATATGAATTCAAGAATGAATCCCGACAGAGAATATGGTCTAAGATGATGTAAATCATGGTAACTAACATAGATACCTTGTTTGTAGAAGACGGAAAGACCGAAATCTGTAGCCTTGAGAGGGGCATCTTCGTCTTTGCTGAGGAGGAGGAAATTCTCGGGTTTGAGATCTCTGTGAATGACGCCCATGGAATGGCAAGTGTGGACGATCTGGACGATGGTTCTGAGGAGGGACGCGGCGGCGCGTTCCGTGTAGTGCCCCTTGGCGATGATGCGATCGAAGAGCTCTCCCCCGGCGCACAGCTCCATGACCAGATGGACCGAGTGCTTGTCCTCGTACGCCCCTTTTAGCTGTACGATGTTGGGCTGTCCTGTCAGGTGGTGCATGATCTGTACTTCCCGTCTCACATCCTCGATATCCTCCTTGTTCACCAGCTTCCTCTTCGCGATTGTCTTGCACGCGAACTGCTCTCCCGTCTGTTTATCCGTGCACAGGTGGGTAACCCCGAACTGGCCCCTCCCCAGCTCCTTCCCGATCGTGTAGTTCGTCCGGACGTCGCTCATCGGCCGGCCGAGGACCGGTCCGATGGCCGTCGGCTTCGAGGAGTGGCCTGGAGAGGGAGGAGTCGTTTTCGTCGGAAGATTACCATTCCCGTGCGCGGAGCCGTTTTCGCCGCACCCATTCTCGCCGCCGCCGTTGTGGGACGCGGATCCCTCCGCGTTCTGGTCGGCGGCTTTGTTTTCCTGCGCGGCGGCGTCAGGTGCAGCTTCCCCCGAGCAACAGTTCCCCATTTAATGATTAATTAATTGGTAGATCAGAGGCCCGGCGGCGGAGGAGGAGGAGGAGGTGTGAGACGTCGAGAATGCCAAAAGGGGGCGGCGGGGCGGTCAGCGGTGGCCTTCGCGGCGCGCGGGCCGGGAGGGAGGGGAGAGAGCGAAAGCGGACAATAGTAGGGGGGCTGTGGGAGTGGGGTAGCTAGAAAAGATTGTTTAGGCCCGGGGAGTGGAGAGAGAATAGAATAGTATTGGTGTATACAAGAGAGAGAAAATGAAGGAGCTAATTTGAGGTCAAGAAATATTTGGATGCCGCATCACACCTTCTCCACTGGTCAAGGATTTTTGTTCCAACAGATTTTCTAGGAGAAGCATTTCTTCTCTTTTTTTCTTAATTCTTTTTTTTTTTTTTTAAATTTTCCCTCTAATTAATATATCATTTTATTTTATACTTAAAGTGAGAATAATCTGGATTAAATCTAAGTCATGTTGCAAAGTTTAACTAAAATTTTGCCCATATAAACATATTACTATATTTTAAAAATAAAGAGTTAATCGAGTATAGTAGTTTTATCACGTTTAATCCTAAATTTTCAAATTAATCACATCATTTGACTTTCAAATTGTTAATATTTGTTGTTCAAGTTAACTACTCATGGTGCTTCAACTTTCAAATTCAACCAATTGTGGTCTTCATGAAAGGACCATGGGTGGTTAAAATTTGATATAATTAAAGGATCATGGGTGTTTAACTTGAACCATGGATGATAACAATTTAAAAGTTAAAGGATTATGGGTGATCAATATAAAAGTCTAAGACTAAACATGACAAAATCATTATATTCGGAGGACCACTTATAGTATTAACTCAAAAATACAAGTAATGGAATATATTTATAATTTTTTATAAATGAATTATTGAATGTGCATCGCTTCATTTTTGGAGTGTGTATTGTGATTTCCTGTATATTCAATAGGCATCTATATGTTGAGACTATTATATTATTTGTGTAAAACAGTACTGAACTATAATTCAATAAAGCCCTCTCATCTATTTTATATTTGTAACTTACCAAATTGTTGTAGTATTTTGTCTCTCTTATTTTGTGATTTATTTGATTTAAACAAAATTATGATTTATTTGGCAATATATTATAACTAAAGATTTCTTTATTTGGAACAAACGGTAAGTTTACCACAAATATTTGGATGCATCTTGCTGTAGGGAACTTCATGAAAATATGAAGAAATAGAGCCTATGAGACTAATTTGTGAAGATTTTAATTTTAAACATGGATAAAAACATGAAAAAATTACTCTCAAAGGACATTTGGTTCAAGTTATCTAAGATAACAAATGTTATATTTGGTTAGTAATGTAACATTCCTATGTTTAGTTAGATTTATATAATATTCCCATAGAATCAAAGATAACCTCCACATCCGTTTTTTTGAGGGAATGTGATTCCCCCCTCTTCCTTAGGTAATATAAGGTTCCCTTGATTATTATTATTATTATTACTAGTATTTGCGTCTGTGCGTTGCACGGAATGAATTTGTTATAATGTTTTAAAAATATTTAGATCGATATACAATTGTATAAATTATAACATCGAATATTATAAAGTGCATTATTAATTGAAGAATTGAGTTAGATCAATTATGTTTTCTAATGTTATCATTGCTTGAATTCTAGCAAATAATTACCCAATTAATAGCTAAAGTGTAGATATACGCATCCGGTGTTGAAACTTGAGAGGTTTTATATATCAGAGTTTAGGATTTGTATTAATTATGCTAATTAGCTCGTTTTCTAGCAACTTAGTTATAAAAATTATTTGTACAGAATATATATTTTCTATGTAGATATATAGCAATTTTGTCATCTTTGTATAAAAAGAAAACATAATATCATTTGTTTGAACTACACATTATTGAAAACCTCTTTGTAGAAAACATTGGTAGTAGTAACAAAATTTTGTCCATCATCTTCAGGCCATCAGGATGGGTGACTCGGGAAAAAGTCACATACAAATGACTGTGATTAAAGACTGATTTTTTCAACAATAACCCAATGTGAGTTAGTGTTTGGCCCTGACTTTTGTTGATATATAGTCACGGCATATGCAAGCATCAACGGGAATTATTTACGCTGGAATTTGAAGGGCAATCTCATATCAGAATGGGTGAAAGACATTCGGGGGATAAGAACTTTGGTTTTCCGGCCTTGATGTGTCCCATTAACTATTCTTGCTTCGACAATGTGATCTGTCAATATTGTGACGATGAGGCGCGTACCGTTGCAAAGACCAAGAGAGTGGTCTATATTCCGCAATAACATAACAGGTGCACCAACCTTTAATGTCAATGAATTATTAGGAAGTCCAGACAATCTCAAACTATTTAAGAATTCAGGAGTGTGTACTTTCTATTTTTCCCCCCTTTTTAAGAACATATTGACTGCAATGGTTTACTATTAATTAGTATTCAAAAAATTGGAAAAAGAATTCATCTTTAAACAAATAAGATGGAAAAGGAATCTTTCATTTTTATGCAAATACAAATGGGATTGTAATATATTAGTTAATTACCGTACACTAATCTATACCAATATGAATATTAATTAACTGGTTCCTCCCAAATGCTCTGTTGGGCGGGGTGTGGGGGCCCTTAGGGTTGGGGTTCAGCCTTTTGGAAGAATGAATATTAATTAACTGGTAAAAAGAATTAATAAAGCTTAATTCTTAACAAAATTTTATATGGAAATTAACTAATATCTAATGAATTGGAAAAAGAATTAGTTAATTAATGATAGGGAAAATAGCACTTTTTCCCCCTGAGTTATGTACTTATAGCACTTTTTCCCCCTGAATTGTTCAAGTGGCTGTTTTTCCCCCTGAAATGTTAAATGGACATATTTACCCTTAAAATAAATATTTTATTTATTTTTCTTCTCCAACAAATTATGACCATAATTTGGTTCAAACCAAACAGACATTATAGCAACTAAACCGAAATATTCCAATTACAATTTAGAATCGAAATTCGATATTTAGATTTTATTAAAAAATCGTGAACCGGAACGGCTGGTTCATGTTCCAAACTGAAAAAATAAAATACATTTATTGCTGAATTCAGACTATTTTAAAATAAAAATAAAATTTTAAAATAAAAACGGTTCAAAATCGCGAACCGGATCCGGAACCACCCGTTCACGGTTCAAGATCTAATTTTTTTTAATTCATAATTTTAATAAATTGAAATCCAAATATTGGGTTCTAGATCTGAATCATAACCGAAAACTTTTAATTCGATTGCTATAGTGTCAGGTTCAGTTCGAACCGAATCGTGGTCATCCGTACGTATACGCAATAATTTGATGGAGAAGTAAAATAAATAAAATGTTTACTTTAAGGGTAGAAATGTCAATTTAATATATCAGGGGGAAAAACCACCACTTTTAGAATAATTGAGGGGGCTAATGTGCTTACCTAAGTAATTCAGGGGGAAAAAGTGCTATAAGCATACAACTCAGGGGGAAAAAGTGTCATTTTCCCTTAATGATATGAAAAAAAAAAAAAAAAGAATTTCGTTGAAATTTTAATGAATTTGAAAAAGAAAAATTAGTTAATTATTGACATGAAAAATTCTAAGAAAATTCTAATATATTAGTTAATTTCCATATAAAATTGTAGTCAATATATATTATTAATTTTGTAATACAAATGAGATTCTTCATTCACTATCAACTCCTAGTCAAAATGTTAAATAATTAAAAAATATAATAATAAAAATTAAAATACTAACTCTACATGTGTGTGTCAATATATACTATTAATTTTGTAATACAAATGAGATTCTTCATTCCCCTTCAACTACTCCTAGTCAAAATGTTAAATAATTGAAAATTTTAATAATAAAAATTAAAATACTAACTCTTCGTGGTGTGTGTGTACTGACAACATTAATTACATATACGTAATTAATTAATATTCTTATTAGTTTGAGCGAAAAATTTGAAAAGAATGGTTTTACTTTTATTAATAATATAGATATAGATTACTAATATTCATGTAATTATTAGTTTAATTACTATATTAATTATTAGTCAATTATACTACTAATATATATGTAATTAATTTCTAAATTACCATAATAATTATTTGGTGATTGTATTAATATTGTGAAATTATATTTTTATATGTTAAGTATAAAAATATATATAGATATTAACATAAAATTACCATAATAATTTCATGAAAGAATGTAAATGGACATTAACATAAACTTATTATAATAATTTCTGGGTATTTAGGGGTAATTTTGTTATTCAATTTTAAGTTAAAGTTTCAGTTTTTTGAGGGCGCTTTTCCCCCGAAATAGATATGTTTAATTTTTTTTTTAAAAAAATAAAGTTCGTGCCTTTAGTTACTTCAATTTGAAATTTGATTTTGCTCGATTTTGGTGAATTTTCTATTGAAGTCTAGACTTCAATGGAAAATTCAGAGACAAAGTTGAAGATAAAAGGTAAAAAGATCATCAATTTCAATATATAGATCTATACAGTGAAATTATTGATGATTTTTTTTTTTTACCTTTTATCTCTTTATTACTCTTTTTTACGAATTAATTAATATTCTTATTAGTTTGGACGTGAAATTTGAATAGAAAGATTTTACTTTTATTTAATATATAGTATAGATAGATATAGTTTTTTATTTAAAAAATATCAATATAATAAAATATAAATATACTGTTCTATTTATATATCAGGATTGCAATAAATATTGATGTTTGATAAGAAATTAAGAATTACTGTTTGATAAAAATAAGTATTAATATAGATATTAAAATTTAAAGGTATAATAATTATTCGTATATACTTGAGTGTATATGTTTAAAATAATAAATTCAAATATTCAATTAAAATAACATATATAATAATAAATTCATAAAAAAAAAATACAAACACAACACCATAACAACATTATAAATATAAAACCGCAAATTAAATTATAAAGTCCAAAAAACATCCATATACATTTAATTATTTTTACATATATTTGGAATTTTGGTTAACTGTTCAATTAATTCGGTTAACCGATAGTTTCGAACCAAATTAATTGTTAACTGAAATTTTACAAATCATTTAACCATTAATTCACCAAAAATTTTTCACTTAAAGAACAGGTAACCAAAATTCTTCGATTTAATCGG